CCGCCCCGGGGGTGGGGCCGGGCGGGCCCGGCGGGGCGGGGCCGTGCTATGCAAATGTCGCCCACGGGCGGCCAATTGCCTGCTCTCCGCGCGCGGCTCCGAGCGAGCGTCCCGTCCCGCCAGCGGCCTCGAGACCGGAGCAGCTAGGGAACAAACCGCAGCGGTCCAGGGAGCCCCGAGCGCAGCGGAGAACCAGGCACGCCTCGAGGACCCGTGCAGCCCCGCGCGGTCTCCGGGCCCCAGTCAGGCAGCCAGGCGAGCGCAGCGCCATCCGGCCGAGCCCAGCGCAGGGCTCCGTAGCCTAGCGCTCGCCGCCGCCCGCGCCCCGCACCGGGGAATGCGCCCTCGGCGGGCAGGCCAGGGGGCGCCCGTAGCCCGCCCCGGGGGAGGCGGCCCCGAGCGCCCCTGAGCCTTTCCATGGCCCGGGCTGGGGCCCGGGGCCTCGGCTGCTGACGTGCACGAAGCCAGTGGAACCAGTGAAGCCGCGGCTGCCGTGCGGATCCCGGCTCAGGCTCAGAGGCAAGAGGGCGCGGACAGGGCCGTGGCCCCGGGGGGCCGCTAGAGCGGACCGGCCCGACGCGAACCTCTCCGCTGCTGCGGCGGGCACCACTGCCCGGGCGCCCAGGCCCCGCCGCCGTGGACGAGGTGAGTACAGAGGGAACGCGACCCCCCGACCCCACTGGGACCCGCGGTACTGCAACTCCTTAGAAGTGTACAATGCGCAGGGTCTGGCGAACCGTGGCGCACTGTCCGCGGGCACCAGGCGCCAGGACTAGGATGTGCTTCATACCTGTCCCGGCGTCCAGGAACCCCGCAGCTTCCGGGCGGTGTAAAGATGTGGGACTGAGTGATGTGGCCTGCCGGGTCACTGGTGTGTGAAGAATTAACTTTTTCCACCCCCGCAAGGTTTTGGGTGGGTACCCTCACCCTCGCAGAGTGGGAGTTTGGATCCTTCTGTTTTAGTCTTCTGCTGACGCCTGCAGCAAGCACTCTTTCCTAATCGGTGCGCATGCACTGCCTCAATGGCCCTGGTCTGAAGACCAGGTCAGCCTCAAGGGGAGGTCTAAACTGGAAGCCCCCACGTGGAGGGTCACCCGGAACGGCAAGGGCGTGAGGATCTGCCTCTAAGTGGCTTTTCTTCCAGCCCTTTGCCGACCTCCTGGCCCCTAACTGCATCTTGTCCTGGCTTGGATTTAGGGGTCTCCCTGTATGTGAGGTGTTGGTAAGTTAGGAAAGCCTGCAGTCAAGCCCCAGGTGAAGTGGGCAAGGGACCAGGGGAGTGGGGGAGGTTGCCTAGAGCAGGTGAGGCGAGGGAAGTGTCAAGATGAAGAGTCCTTTGGAACTGGGACTGGGGGCCCAGCTGGACCACGAAGTCCTTATTCTTGAAATAGGTGCGTTTTGCCACCAGTCCATTAACGTCTGGGAAGCGGACAGACTGAAGCCTCCCTCATGTCCACCCTGGAGCTGGGCCGGGTGGAAGGACTCCTGGTCCCCTGAATTCGCTCTGTTTCTCCAGTGTCCGCTACCCTAGTTACAGATAGGGGAAAACTGTACCCAGGGGTGGGACGGAGCAGGGGCTTCTCCGGCTGCCCAGGGGGTGTGCCTAGATAGACCCGGTGGACTGTCTTGTCTGGGTAAGGCAAGGATGCAGGCATATCCACCCCCACTGTTCCCCCTTAGTTCCAAAAGAGCCAGGCCCGGAAGTAGGAAGGTGGGGGTTGGAGAGAAGGCCAGAAGCCCAGCCACTGCCCCCGCTACTCTGCATACCTTGGGGGGGTGGGGATGGAGCCTGGCCCAGGTGACCTTGACTGGGAAACCCTGGCCACAAAAGGGGGTTTCAGGCCCAGCAGGTCTGCTTCCTGGTCCATGAGGTGTTGGGGGAGGGGGAAGCTGAGGATCCAGGAAGGAGTCTTGGGGTGTGGGGGGGAATAGCTGAGGAGCTGGTGGGGTGCTGTTAGTAATTTCCTCCCTGCGCTCCCCCACAGTCCTGTTCTCAGCTAGAGGAGCCAACCTCCCTTTGCTAAGACAGGCTCCCCCCGACACACACACACACACACACACACACACACACACACACACACACACAGTGAGCTTGGGAGGTCTGGATCAGGCTGGACAGTTTGACCACCTGGCCCCCTGTCCCGCCCCCAGGTGCCTCTGGACCCCTTCCTCTGTCCGCCCCCTTCCCTGCACCCCTTGCCAGCCCCAGCTCCTCGTTTCTTTGTTCAGGCGTCTCTCCTCCGTCCCTCCCTCTCTCCTCCCTCTCTCCTCCTCCCGCCTGCCTGCTGCCTCCCTCCGTTCCCTCCCGCCAGCTTTCTTCTCCTCCTTTTGGATTTTCCTCCTGGTGGGCTCCCAGGTGGCGGTGGCTGGTCCTCCCCTGTCCACCTACCTGAGCTTATTCTGACTTGGGGGTTTTGAGGGGGCTAGGACTACATGGACGGTCTCCAGGGGCTGGCTGAAGGAAAGGGACTGGAGGAGCCCCCTCCCCCTCCCCTCCCCGGTCTTCTTCATCCTTCTCTCTCCTCTGTCCCCACCCCTAGGCTGCCAAAGAGGGACCCTGGATGTGGTCTTGAGACCCCAGCAGACTTCATCACCCCCCCCCCCATTTACCTCTTTCAAGGGCCAGAAAATTATGGGAGGTCCCTGTAGGAGCCTCATGGAAAGGTCCCCTACTTGCCTGGACACCTTGAGTGAGTCCAACACTAGCTTTGGTGACCCTGACCCTGTCACTGTGAAAATGGACACTGGAAAAACGAGGCAATGGGGGGGGTGCTGACATGAACCCCCTGATCAAAGCTTTCAGAGACTCAGACGGCATCTTGCCCTCCTCGCTTCCTGGAGCCCCACCCCACTAGCAGGTCAAGTTCTTGAGCAAACCCATGCTTGTAAAGACGAGCGTGGGCATGCAGGTGTGGATGTGTGTATGTGCAGGACTGCTCGCGGGGGCCTCCCAATGCACCCTTGGGGTGATGGAGGCTGCACAGCCCCCGTCCCCCTGCCTCCCTGCCAGAGCCCGCCTTGGATTCTGTCAGCATTAGCTTTGTGCCCCCAGCAGACTGGGGGAGGGGGCTGGGACCGAGTCTCCCCTCCCCCAGTCAGCCAGTCTCCCTGGGAGAGAGCATCTGGGGTGGGGAGGCCTTGGAGGAAAGAGAGGTGTGCCAGGCACTCAGAGAGCACCGCTGGAGGAGTCAGGCTGAAGCTGCACTTCCTGTCTGAGGAACCTCCAAGTGGTTCGCTCGCCTTGGCAGGAGAAGCGGCTTCCGGGCCGGGGGCTGGGTCTGAGGAGGGCACTGGAGTCGAGAAGTCCACAGTGGAGACTGGGCCTGGTCTCAGCCCTGCACAGCCCTGACTGGGGCAGTCACAGGCCACAGTACCCCAGCCCCATCCCAACACACACATACCCTGGTGTCCTGAAAATGGCTCTGTCCTATGGCCTCCCAAGGGAACGGGGATAAACGGGGCAGCTCTGGGGGGTGGGGCTGTTGTTCTTAATGCCCCCACCCCCAGTGCTTCGGGTGGGGGGTGGGAGTTGGCAAGGATTTGTATCGGGAGGGAGCAATATGTTTCAACAACTGGTGCTGGGCTGCGTTTACCCAACAGCCAGCCTGCCTGGGGAGACAATATTTGAAAAACAAGAGTATTAAAATTTGGACCTGCCAGGGATGTGGGTGACTTTGAAGGGAGTGATGTAGCTGGCGCACAGCTTATCACCGGTCCACCGGCCATTCTAGCACCCTTTCTGATCCCTGAGCTGGTACTTTTTTCATGGAGGAAGTCCTTCTGCCCGTCTAACCTGGGTGCTTCCTGCTTCCTGCTTTTTGGTAAATGTGAGTCTTGTTATTCTGTGACTTTTCTTTTTTGTCTGGTGTCACCTCCCCTGCTTTAGGCTGTCAGTGTGTCTCGTTCTTGCTCCCTATTCTCCCATGATTCCCCTCCACTATTATTAGGTCCAGATTTTCCTGCCCTGGGAAGAGAGCCTTGGCTCAAGCAGACCTAGAGCTGGAAGAGAGGGGCCACTCTGCGGGTTGTGGGCACAGTGTGGAAACCTGCTGTGAGCCACAGAGGGTTCCCATTATCTGCATGTGCTCCAGCATGAAACTGAGGGGACAGGGAGGCTAAGGCTTGTGTCTCCAGCCACTCCATCAGTGCTGGTGCTCCCAGGTGGCCCGCTACAGCCTGGACTCCAGGCTCATTGGCGACATGTCCCCAGACAGAAGGCAGAAGAAAGTGTGAGGTTTCTCCTGAGTTGAAGGTTGTTGAGGAGGGAAACTGAGGCACTTTGGTCAGAGGTTGGACAAGGGGAGGTAGGCAGGGTGCTGCTCTCTAGTAATCCCAACACTCAGGAGGTGGAGGCAGGGGGACTAAGTCCCCTGTCTCAAAAGGAAAAAGAGAGAAAAAGAAAAAGGAGCCAGGGAAATGGCTCATACATTCTTCTAATCTTGATCTCTTCCCAGGTGTCCAGAGAACTGGAGCCTGCTTCCTGGGCCCTAGGCCCCTCCACGATGCTCGTCACTGGTCTCATCCTGTGGGCTTCCCTGCTGACTGGGGCCTGGCCAGCTACCCCCATCCAGGACCAGCTTCCGGCCACACCTCGGGTCCGACTGTCATTCAAAGGTCAGAGACTTGTTTGCGCCTCCCTCACACCATCCTTTCTCACAGCACTTGCTTCACTACTGAGGAAAGAATAGAGGTCAGGGCACAAGACAAACAGTATATATAGTCACGTGGGCAAAGCTGGAGAGAAAGCAGGACCTGTCGGGAAAGGCTGGGATCCAGGGGATGGAGACGATGCTGGAATCTTTGAGCTCTGGCTGATAGGTGGGGAGATACACTGAGGTCAAGCCTGCCTGTGCCCCCAGGCAGCTCCCAGGGCTGAGGGTCAGACCATGAGGTAGACCGGAGCCTCAGCCAGCTGTGAGGCAGAAACAGTTCTGCCCGGGTGTGAGTACCTGGGTAGTGTTCCCGTGAACTTGAGGCTGTGGGCCTTCCGGGGCCCTGAGGGAAGGGACTGTTGGCTGTGTTGTGTGGGGAGCATTGGGGGAAATGGAGCACTTGGTGAGCTCAGGGAAGGCATCTACTGTTGTGAAAGGCATTAGCACCCCGGCTGGCTCCCCAGTGAATGCTCTGGGAAATCACTAGGAGATTTTAATGGCGGCCTGGGGTCTGTAGTTTACTTATTTCATTACCTTTGCACGCCGCCCACCTGGCAGATGACACACAGTGACAATCCGGATATGTGTCAAGGGACAGTGTGTGTGTGTGTCTGTCTGTCTGTCTGTGTCTGTGTGTGTCTGTCTGTGTGTGTGTGTGT